CCCCCCCCCATGCCCGGCCCACCTGCTCTCCAGGAATCTCCGCACCAGCTCAGTGAGCTCTCCTGGCACCTCCTCCCGGCTAAGAGCCACCCCCGGGGCTGTCCACGGCACAGGGCTCTCGGGGCCTGGGGGGGCTGGGAAGTCCCGCAGAAAGGCGTCCAGGAAGTCCAGGGTCTCCTCTGTGCCACCGGCCCTCTGGTGGCTCTCTTGTGGGGCGCCAGAGGCCATTCCGAGTGCATCCCGGGCGCCTGTGGCAGCACTAGGTGGGCGGGTTTGTTTGGCCTGGCTCTAGGGAGAAAGGTGACAGTCAGCAACGCAAGGGGCAGTGCCTGGCTCTTCTGGCCTCTCTGCTGTGGAGAGCACCAAAAACCAAACCAAACTCACTGCCCTTCAGTGGATTCTGACTCAGAGTGATCCCCCTTGGGTTTAGAAGGCTGTCAATCTTCACAGAAGCAAAGCTCAAACCACACCCACTGCCCTGGAGTCGGTCGATTCCACTCACAGCGCCCCTAGAGGACAGAGTGGAACTGCCCCACAGGGTCTCCAAGGCTGTCAGTCTTCACAGAAGCAAAGCCCAAACCACACCCACTGCCATGGAGTCCATTCTGACCCACAGCGCCCCTAGAGGACAGAGTGGAACTGCCCACAGCGTCTCCAAGGCTGTCTGTCTTCATGGAAGCCGACTGCCTTATCCTTCTCCCATGGAGTGGCTGATGGGTTCAAACCACTGACCTGGTTAGCATTCAAATGCCTAAACCACTCCCTGTACCATGAGAGCTCCTTCAGTGGAGGGCACAGGCCCTGTTTATGTCCTTCCTCTCATGGGCAATGCGTGCGGGCACCGCACCAAAGCCGGGCCTCCAGGCAGAGGGCAGAGGCAGGCGGGAGATTAACCCAGAGGCTGGGCAGGAGCGGGTCGCCGGCACAGAGTCCCTGATGGCAGATGAAGGGGTCCAACGTGCTCCTGGGACCTGGGCCTCCAGAGGGGCTGAAGATGAGGTATCTCTTGGGGGCGCAGGGCGGAGCGCAGTAGCGCTGGCCCCTAGAAGAGGGATGGCGAGCTTCCCTGGGCCCTGCCATGGCCCTGCAGGACTGAGGCTGTGTGGGAGAGGGCCGAGGGCGGATCCAGGACAGCGGGCGTGTGGTGGCGATGTGACCCATCAAACCCGCTACGTCCTCTCTGACAGGCAGAAGGTCGTGAGTGCCAAGCTGTGTGGGTGTGCCGAGCCCCGGCTGGGAGGGCCCCTGTGGACAGCGGGGCAGCCCCCACATTGTGGCTCCACCTCCTGGCCCCTGAGCCTTAACATTCGTCAGTCCCTGTAGGAACAAGGGAGGCTTAATTGCGCCCAGGCCCCAGCGCCCCGAGCACCCCATCTTAAGGTAATGTTGAGACTTAGGAAGGGAGGCTGGGATGGGGGCCTCCCAAGCTCTTCCGCCTCCACACCCGAAAACTGGGCTCCCCTCTTCTGTCCCAATGGACAGAGCAGACCTCTCCCAGCTCAGCACCCCCAAGAGGTGCCAACCCCCACTTCACAGAGCTCTTTGTAAAAGATCCTCCTTGACTTCCCCTGGTCACCCTCCTGCATGCTTCCCTGGACCAATGAGGGCCTGCCTGGTCCCACCTCACTCACCCACTGACCCCCAAACTCAAGTCAGCAAGAGCGTCTCCCATCCCCCACCTCACCCTCTCATCATGTAGCTGCAGCGGGGCCCTTTCCCAGCACCTCGGACCTTGTCCTCTAAAATGTGTTGGAGCCCTGACCCCTGTCTGAGTGAACAGATCCACCCTGGGAACAAGGCTTGTTTGTTATGTTAATGAGGCCGCAGGCGGGTCATTTCTGCGTTGCCTGAGGCACCTGACTGCTAAGCGGAAGGTTGGTGGGTTCGGAAGGTTGGTGACTCGAACCCACCAGCCGCTCTGAGGCTGGAAGGTGACGCAATCCACTTGCGGAAAGATTTACAAACCAAACCAATGAGTTCCTTCTGACTCTTAGCGACCCCACTGGGTTTCCAAGGTGGTAAATCTTTACGGAAGTAGATTGCCCAATCTTCCTTCCATGGAGCAGCTGGTGGGTTTGAAGCCCCGACCTTCTGGTCAGCAGGCAAATGCCTTAAATACTTTGCCACTGATTGACTGCCTTGGAACCCCAGTGCGGGGACTCTGAGTCAAAGCTGGCTCGATGGCAGCGAGCTAGTGTCTAGGGACCGCCAGAAAACTAACACATCTGTCCTGGAGGAAGCGCAGCCAGAACCCTCCTTGGAAGCGAGAGTGGCCAGACTTCGTCTCAGCTCCTTTGGTCATGTTGTCAGAAGGGACCATTCCCTGGAGAAGGATGTCATGCTTGGTGAGGTGGAGGGTCAGCAAATAAGGGGAAGGCCCTCAGGAGATGGACGGACACGGTGGCCGCATCACCAAGCATACCAAGGCCTGGGAGGCTGGCGCAGAACGGGGCTGTGTTTTGGGCTGTCGTACACGGGGTCGCTATGAGTTGTAGCTGACTCAACGGCAGCTAACAAGAGCCAGAGACGCAGAAGTGAGTACGAACAGGGGAAGGCTAATGCCAGGGGAAGATGGCCAAGGAAGCCAGAACGCCAGGCCTCGAGAAGCTGGGTCCAGGACCCTTCCCCAGAGCTGAGAGCCAGCGAGCCCTTCCCCTAAGCCCACTGCCCGAGTTCCGACCTCTAGCTTCCTGAGCTGTGAGAAAACAAACCTCTGTTTGTGAAAGCCCCCACTCTGGTGTTTCTGCCACAGCAGCACCCGGAGGTTAAGGTCGAGGCGACCTGAGCACGTCCGTCCCCTGCTGCGGTAGTTAAGGCTGTGTGTCAACTCGGGTGGGCCTGGCTGAGCAGCTGGTGGTAGTTATTCCCCATAACAAGACTGGCAATCAGCTCCACGGTGGGATCTACCATGGAGTGAGTAGTAGTTAGTAGCTGCTTCAAAGATGTGGTCTGCTTCCCGTATATAAGAAACAGCTTTGGAAATGGTCTCTAGTTTATGGTATCCTTGAACCCTGCATGTACCCGACTTTCAATGGACTGGTAGCAACGGCCTGCAGTGTGGTTTGGTAACATCGGGACTGTGCCTTTTTACTTGCCAACTTTGGGCTTGGCAGCCTCAGTAGCCAGCAGCCATCTGAGTGAAGAAAAGCCTCCAGCTTCAGTGGCCGGAAGCAGTAGGCAGAGCTGAAGCCCGAGGCTGAGGGGCCGTACCCCATCCCCTGCAGCCTGGCACTTTGAACTCAGACTTAGAGCCTCCAAACTAACAGAATAAACTCCTGTTTGTTAAAGCATCCCACTTGTGGTATATTCCTGCCAGAGCGGTACTAGAGGCAGGCAGAACACCTACCAACACCGCACATGGCTCAGCGGGGCTCTGAGGGGCCGAACCTGAGTACAGCATACAAGCCCCTTCAGGCCCTCTTCTTGGGCCAGGCACCCCAGCCTAGCCCAGGGCCTGAGTCGTTCCTGGTCAGCTAGAACGCCTGCCCCCTGCATGGTCAGGATGCCAGCTACCCATCCATCAACTTCCCCTAACGCCTGGGCTGGAAAATTTCTTTGGGAATGAGCACTAAAAACGCACCACTGTGTGACACTAACGGTGTCTTCAGGTGACAACTGATTTGAGACTGAGATGACTCCCAGTTCTAAGGCAGGAGCCTTCCAGGTTCTGACAAGGGAGTGCAGAAGGCAGCACCACAGAAGGGAATCTTCTAGAACCATCGTTTTAGACTATCTACGGACTGTGCCTCCAAACTTTAAGGAAAAGGTGGCTGAAGATGGGGTGAGGTTAAAGGACAAAGACTTTAACACTCCTAATCCCTCACTCCACCAGCCACTCCTTGGAAGGAAGGTTGGGCAATCCTACTTCCCTAGTGATACTGCCTCGGAAACCCAAGGAGGGGTCGCTATGAGTCGGGGCCAACTCGACGGCACATAACAACAACAACAACAAATCCCTCACTAGGGGCTCTGGTGGTGCAGCGGTTAAAGCATTTGGTTGCTAACCATAAGGCCAGTGGTTGGAATCTACCAGCTGATCTGAGGGGCAAAAGATAAGAGGGTCTGCTTCCGTAAAGACTGACAGCCTGGGAGACCCTCCGGGGCAGTTCCACTCTGTCCTCTAGGGGCGCTGTGAGTCGGAATGGACTCCAGGAGCAGTGGGTTTGGTTTGGGCTTTGCTTCTGTGAAGACTGACAGCCTTGGAAATGCAATGGGGGTTACTGAGTCCCAGTGGACTCAAACGCAGTGAGTGGGGGATAGCCTTAGCTTTATTCTCTTTCACATTTTCTCACATGTAGAAATAAACTATAACATAGATTACCAAGGCAAACAGATAAATAGATTAAAAAAAACTTGTGAAAACAAAAACAAAAAGGATGACCCAGGACTGGTAATTGCATCAATTACCACACACACACACAGACACACACACACACACACAAACCAAAAACCAATTGGTGTCACGTGGACTCCCACTCCTGGGGGCCTCACGGATGTCAGAGTAGGACTGTGCCCCACAGGGTTTCCATGGCTGGGACCCTTCAGAAGCATACTGCCAGGCCTTGCTTCCAATGTGGATTGGAACCCCGCCAACCTTTCAGTTTGCAGCCAAGCACACTGTTTGCAAAACTTAGAGATGTCACCTTCCAAGGGGGAAGCTAAAATAGTCCAGGGCCCATGGTGACCAAGAGGCACAGAGCTGAAATCACCTTCACGCTATACATGAAGAAATGGGTTCAGGGAGGCTAATAACTCCCCAAAGACCACGGGCTGCAAAGGGCAAAGCCAGGACGCTGAATGGTACAAACGGTTAATGGCTTAAAGCACCCTGGCTGCTAATGCGTCCACACAGAGGCACATCGGAAGAAAAGGTGTGATCGTGTACTTTTGGAAAAATTAGTTCGACCCTGACGCATAGAGGGGCGCCAGGAGCCGGAGCTGAGTCCACGGCCACTGAACTGTCTCTGTCACTTCCCGGAGGAAGGCTGGACAATAGGCGGAAACGTGCAGGATGAGATGAGCCCGGGGCTGGCCGGCATTCCTGGGTTGTCCATGCCGGGAGCCCAGCCCAGCCCTGGGGCCAGGCCCGCCCAAGGAATCCCGCAGGAGGCTGCCGGCCTGGGGGAGAGGCAGCAGCGGGCCCTCTCACCGCCGGCTGTGCTGACGCTCCTAGTCGGGGGCCACTTCTCCCTTCACACAGAGATTAAGGGGGTCACTGGAGGTCACACAGCTGTGGTGGCGGGGTAGCCCATCTCGCAGCGCGGGCCTCCACCTTACAAACTCTAAGTAAAAACGCACGCCTCATGCACACTTGGGGGCCAGGCAAGGGGGACCTTGGGGGAGAGAATGTGGCCCGGGGAAGGTGCAGGAGCTAGTGGCTGGGGTTCAGGGTGCAGGTGGAAGAGGAGGAGAGGGCCCGGGCCCCCGGGTAGATGGGGGCGCCCGGCACCCGGGCAGATGGAGGAGCGCCACCTTTCGGTCCCCCCCCACTCAGCCTCCCGGCCCTCGTGTCCCGCTTGGGCACGCCCACGCCCCCGTCGGCTCAGTGAACCCATTTTGCGCCCTTGGCTTTCCAGTCCCCCAAGTCCCCTCCTCGCGCTCCCACCCCGCTATACAGCGCCAGACCCATGGGTGCTCGCATTTGGCCCCGCCTCAACCTCCCTGCCTACCCACCCCGCTCCCCTGGGAACCTCAGCGTCCCCATGGCGCCCCTGGCCCTCACCCCGACCCTGCACCCCCTAGCCCGTCTGGGCTTCCGCACCCGGACCCACGGCCTCACCTGCTCTCCACCAGCTGCGCGCCCCGAGTCGCCCCGCCGGCCCCGCCCACTTCCCGTCCCGGCCAGAGCTGGCGCACGCAGGCGCAGTCGGACCTAGGCGGGGCCGGCCTCTGCTGCCCCCTGGCGGCCTGCACTGGCAACGTCGCGTGGAAAAGCGCCGCAGGGTTTCCAAACGCGACTGCGGATCCGGGTGCTAGAGTTCCCGCACTCGTCCCCTGAGTGGGCCTGGGCGAGGGGGAGCGGCGGTAATCTCTATTTCCCAGTGGCCGGAGATTACGCAGTTTGCACTGGTCAACAGCCAGTGACTGGCAGAGCAGGACTGCAAAACTGTCGCCCTGGGCTGGTTCAGGTCCTAGGGTCCCACACTGTGGGGAGGTTGCGTTAGTTTCCTATTGTGGCTATGACGAATCCTCAGGCGTTTAGTGCTTTAACACAACACAAAGTTACCATCTCAAGTTCTGTACATAAGTCTCACCCAGCTGAAGTCAAGGGGTGTGTGTGTGTATTCCCTTTTGTGGGTTCTATGTGAGCCCCCACCCTCGCCTTTCACACCTTCCAGAGGCAGCCGTATTCCTTCCTTGGCGGCCTCTCCCTTCATCTCTGAGTCCTCACCCTGCCATCTCCCGGGGCGCCTATTCTGATTCCTTGTTTCCCCTCTTAAGGACCCTTGCAATTACATTGGCGTCCCTGGGTGGTGTGATGGTTAACAAGCTCACTGTTCACTGAAAGACTAAACTTTGGAGTCCATCCAGAGGCACGTGGGAACAAAGGCCTGGCAATCTGTGTCCGGAAAAGCAGCCATTGGAATCCCCATGGAGCACAGTTCTTTATCACACGGCGTCTCCAGGAACCAGATTCGATTTGACAACTGGTCCTGGTTGAGGAGCTCTGGTGGCTTTGTGCCTAAGGCACTTGACTGCTAACCAGAAGGCTGGCGGTTCAAAGGAAAGTTGGGCAATCTACTTCCGTAGTGACACCGCCTGGGCAACCCGAGGAGGGGTCGCTATGAGTCAGATTCGACTCCATGGCAGTGCATCTGTTCTGGTTGCATGAAGCCAGGAACCTAGTGAACCCATAGGTGGCAGAGCTCAAAGAAATCCATTGTGGGGGCTGGTTGGAAAGGCTGGGGATGTCTGGGCTGACGCAGCAGGGGACTTCACCCCACTCCTAGATCCTGCACCCTGTTGTCAGAGCAGTGACCCTGAGCAAGGATTGGGGTTACTTCATAAACTGTGACCTGGGGCATCTTGTTTAGCTCATCAGAGCCTCAGATTCCTTACTGGAAAAGTGGGGACAAGCAACCTATCTCGAATGGAAAACCAATTTGCTCTGTAAAGTTTCACCCAAATCACAATATACATGTATTTTATAAAACAAGAAAAACTCAGCCTGGTGGACTGCCTGCATCAGAATGCCAGTGTGTGTGTACTTGCGCCCGTGCGCGGATGGTGTTCAGGGCAAGTTACCACCTCAGCTGGGGTGGGGTGGGGTGGTACCTGGGAAGTGAGGCCGAACCTGACACCTGCAGCTCCAAGCAGGGCCAGTCCCACACTCTGAGTGCGTCTGGGGCTGTGGCTGAGCAAGGCCCTGTGGTTCTCTGGGGCTCGACCTGCCTGGGGCTACTCCCGCCCTGTGGTGATGTCACCCCTTCGCCTCACTTCTTAGGGAGTGAGTCTGTTGCCATCACAGCCATTGGGACGAGCCCGCAGGCAGCTCCTGGCGGGCGGGATGCTACTGCCTGCTCCCCGAATCCTGCCCTGCACACTCGCCTCCCTCGGGGTGCCCTGGCTGTCACCAACACCCCCTCCTCCACCCTACACACATTGCCAGTCACGTGGAGGCGGTTCAAGCTGCTCTAGGCTTTCCGACCGGGGAAGATGGCTGTGAGCTCAGGAAGGACCCAGCAGCCCCTCTCCTCCCTCCACCGCTGCCTTCTCTGGAGCCGGGCTCTTATCTGCGGGTTGCAGGCCCCTCTACCCACCCCCCCCCAAGCGGCACTCCGTCCAGCTGATCAAACACAGAGAAGCACCAGCAGCACCTGCGTGCCAGACCTCAGGTGACAGGGTAGGTTCCCCCAAGGGCACCAGCTACCAGGAGACCAGGGGCCTGGGCTGGCCTGCACCCCTCCCCACTCCCCAGCCCCCAGGGCAGTACAAGGTGTAGCGGAGCTAGCTGCCGGCTCAGGCCGGAGGCCGCCTCTTGTGTCTACTGGATGCAGAGCCCTGTTGGTCACCACTCCTGGCGAATGAGAGGCTGCCTCACTGCTGGGCCCTGGCCTGTGCCGTGTGTCATGGTGGCCAAACGCGTTTGGCACGTGGCTGGAACCACAGCGTGTGCAGGGCCCTCCCCACTGGTCAAGGTGGCCTGACCTGCACACCGGGATCTGGCTGGAGGGGGCCCCACCTGGAAAGCGTCAGCCCCCAGACTTGCAGCTGTGCCACTCCAGGGAGTTGACCTGCCCCACTCTCCCCCAGGCAACACCTCATGCCTTGCTAGGCATTCTCTCCAAGGCACTCTGGTGGCTCAGTGCCTAACTAAGGCATCTGACTGCTAACCAGGCTGGCAGTTCAAACCCACCAGCCACTCTGTGGAAGGAAGACTGGGCAATCAACTTCTTTGGAAACCCAAAGGGGGTTGACTTCATGACAGGTTTTTCCCTTTTTGGTTTTGGAGGAACTCTTTCCAACTGCGCCCCCAGGAAGCAGCAGGGTTGCTGGCGGACCCAGGCAGCGGTCCAGGTGGCCACAGTGCCCAGGCTGGTTTATTTACGGACTCAGCACTGCCTCGGGTTCTATGTACACGGAGCCCACTGCCGCAGGTGTCCTGGAGCGGCCGCATGGGGTGTGCCCAGGCCTGCGTGGGATGCTGTTTGCCCT